GTTAACAGTCCAGCGCATAGCCCAGTATGCCACCAGGGTGCCTAACTTGCTATTGTTAAGTGCTGTTGAGTCTATTCCAACCATAGCGACCCTGTAGGGTTTCTGAGAGTGGCTGGTGGGTTTGAACTTCTGACTTTACAGTTAGCAGCCCAATACTTATCGTATAGTGCCACATCAGACCTCAAATTGTTTCTTGTTAGGGAGGGCACCATACTGTAAGAGCAGGTCAACAAATAAAATGATGAAGGTAAAAGAATATACTGGATAGACTACAAGACTTGAAGGCAAAAGAGGTAAATACTATTATATACACAATCCTGCAGTAATAATCTAACAGTGGGTGCACCAAATCTGAACACTGAATGGGTGTAGGAAGGACATTGGTAATATACACACAAATACATAATAGGTTTAATTAGATAGTTCTACATCCAAAAGGGCTTCAAAAAGTATGTGGGGAAATGGAATTAAAAGATAATTGAATTTTCCCACAAATTTTGATGCCCTAACCCCCTCGTTTTTAGGGAGCATAGTGGTTCTGTAGGATAAGTATAGGTCTAGAATCCACAAGGTTGGTGGTACAAGCCCACCAGCTGTTATGTGGAAGAAAGACGAGGCTTTCTGCTCCGGCAAAGATTTGTAAAAGCTTCAGAAACATGATACACAGTAACTATGAATTGGAACCAACTCCATGGCAATTAACAACTCATATGTTAGTGAATAGCGCAACTAGAAATTTGTGAGTGATCATATAAGTTGCAGCTATTGGTCTCTTCTTGTCTAGAGCAAAGAAGAGTGAAGAAAATCAAAGATGAATGGAAATAATTAGTCGTTGGACTAATGGAGCCATGTGGCTTAAGCCTCCATGACAGTGAAACAGAATACAACCGACTGCTCTAACAGGAATAGGATTAGAAGGACCTAGATAATGTGGAAGAAAATTGTGCAACAAAACTCAAAATCAAACAAACAAGCAAAACAGACTTACTACTGGGATAGAAACTGGAGGAACCCCAGAGGCTATGGCCCTTAGTCACCCAAATTCGCCCTTGTGGCTCAATTTTCAGCCAAATAATAGATCTACTGTTGTTAGTGCCCTCAAATCTGTTCCAGTTTATAGCAATCCAATATAGGGGTTTCAAAGGAGCAGATGGTGGGTTTGAACTGCCAACCTTATGGTTAGCAGTCCAGTATCATACCAATACTTCAAGGGAAACATTAGCACTAGGGAAGCATGCATTCCTAAAAGTAATCAACTATTTGAGATCAAAAGGGTAGTGTTTTCCCAAGGACAAAGTTCAGAAGGCTTAGGAAAGAAAGGAAGGAAACACAGGAAGGAAGTAGCATAAGTGATGTTACATTGTGGGGATTGCAATCAATGGCACAAAACAAAATGTGTATGAATTTTTTTTATGGAAAACTGATCTGCTCTGTAAACCTTCACCTAATTCACAATTTGTTGTTGTTGTTAAGTATCATCAAGTTGGTTCCAACTCATGGAGACCCTGTATATGATTTCCAAGGAGCTGATGGTGAGGTTGAACCACCGACCTTGAGGTTCAAATCGGCCTTATGGTCAAGTACTTATCCTACACACCACACCAGGACTCTAAATTCACAATAAGAGGTTAGGAAAAAAAGGGGGGGTTGGGGGGAGACTTACAGCCTTGAAAACTTCATGGAGATCCATACAATAAGTACTGGACTGAGAACCACAAGATCCAAGATTTGAGCCTGCCAGCCTCTCTGTGAGAGAAAGATGGGGCTTTCCATTCTCACAAAGATTTAAAGCCTTGGATGTACTGCAAGATGGCAGGTGCACTACATGGACCCTCTACAACAAAGATAACAAGAGACAAAATAAAACCAACACAGATGAAAATTAAGTACCCGGAACTTCAGAAGAAAGGTTAGAGAGGTTGATAGAGTTGCTTGCTGGGAAGAGAGGCCAAGCAGAAACTGTGAGAAAGGGAAACTTTCTATAAACAGCTTGCCAGATGTGGCTTGACCATCTTTTGAGCAGCTTTGGCAATAGGGAGAGGCCTGGCAGAGAAATTTGCACAGGCAGCAGAAAAGTTACAATTTCTTCTTTTTCTTCATGCTCCCCTGGTAACCAGAAATGTGGCCAGCTCCCACTTTCATCCACCTCCAGCACAGACTCTGGTCTCTGGGAGTTCAGAGCTGTATGATTGGGAGCCATGCAGTGTGAGGTGGGGGCAGGCTAAGCCACTTTGGTGTGCTGCTTAGGTGCCTGGGTCTAGGTGGACTCGGCTCCAGACCTACAAAACTGACAGAACCACCAGATCAGCATTTAGTCCATCATGCTGCCCCCAGCTTCCCTGTGGTCCTAACAGACACTGAAGCCAGCCCCATCAAAGCCCCTCATGAGTTACTCCAGATTGAGTGCCCTGAACATAGATAACACTCACGGGGATAGAAACTCCCTCTAGGGCCAGGAACTCTACTGTCACATCCCTTCCACAGAAAACTTGTGAGCTCCTTGAATTTCAGGAGCCCACCAGAGATTTATCCCCTGCAGGTCAATAACGCCACTATTTATTTTTACAAAAATGACAACCCCACAATGCCCCAGAGACAACAAACTATTTTAGTTCACACGAAGAAACAAGAGAATGGCTCAAACAAATGACTAAGATGCAGAGCCAGAAAAAGATTCTGAGGAAGACAAGATAATGGAACCGAAAAAGAATTCAAAAGAATGCTAATTAGGTACCATCAAAAGATCCATAGAAAAATCGAGGAAAGCACAGAGAACACAATAAAAACTTTAGCAGAATTCACGAAAACACTATAAGAACAAACAGACTAAATAAATGCAAATTTTGAAACAGTATAAAACCTGCAATTAGAAATCCAGAAGTTTAATACTAAGATCTCGGAAATGGAAAATACATTGAAAGGGCAAAGAGTAGATTGCAAAGCAATGGAAGTCCAAATTAGTGAGCTTAAAGATAAATCTCTTAATGCTAAAAGAACAATCATAAAAAAGAATGAAAAAATAGAAAGAAAGCCTAAGAGTTATGTGGGGTACCATGAAAAGGAACAATGTACAGTGATCGGAATTCCAGACTAGAAAGAGAGAACCAAAGAGAAAACTGTCAAAGAGTTAGTGGAAGAAAAGTACCTACATCATGAAAAATGAGAAGACAAGCATATAAGACGCTGAACAAACCCCAAACAGGAAACAGGATACATCCGAAAAGAAAATCACCCAGACATACCATAATCAAACTTTCTAAAATCAAAAACAAGGTAAGAATCCTGAGAGTAGCTTGGGAAAATGAAAAGTTATTTACAAAGGAAAACCAATAAGACTAAGTTCTGATTTCTCAGCAGAAGTCATACAGGCAAGACAATAGAATGACAACAAAACTCTGAAAGAAAAAGATTGCCAACCAAAAATCATATATCCAGCAAAACTGTCCCTTGAATATAACAGCAAAACTAACAGTTTCTGATAAACAGGAGCTAAAGGAATTTATAAAGACCACACCAACTTTATAAAAAATGATAATGGGTGTTCTTTGGACTGAGAACCAATAACAGCAGACAACACCAAACCAGAACTCAATCCAGAGAGAGAAGGGTTTAAAGCAAAACAAACTTACAAGACTAGAAATAGGGAATCAGAGATATCAGTGCATAATGAAGTCAACTAAAAAGCAAAAAAAGGAATAGTGTAGATACAGAATTTCCAAATGGCAAGGAAGTCATGTAGAATTCAAGATAAAACAGACTTCTTCAACCAGTGAAAAAATTAATAAATTACAGGGTAACCTCAAAGAAAGATAAGACGCCTGTACCTCAAAATAAAAAAAGAAGAAAATCAGAAAAATTTAGTAAACATTACCATAACAGAATTAAAAATGAAAATAAAAATCACAAGCAAAATGAACTCAGTAAAGAAAACTATGTTGAACAAAGAATCCAGCAGCACCACCACAAAAAAACACACAGAAAAATGACAACAATAAATTCATTCTTACTGATAATTACACTGAATGTAAATGGATTAAATGTTCCTGTCAAGAGACATAAAGAGCAGAATGGATAAGAAAACAGGATCCTTCAATATACTGTCAACAAGAAACAAATCAAAAAGATTAAGACAACCTAAATGCTCTTTAACAGAAGAATGGCTACACAAGCTTGAGTACATACACACAACGAAATACTACAAAATGGAAGAATAAAGATCAATCTGTGAAACACCTCACAACACGGATGAACCTGTGGGACATTGTGCAGAGTGAAATTAGTCAATCACAAAGAAGCATTCTATGAAACCAACATTGTAAGAACTTTTTAAAAGTTTTTTTGATAAAACAATAATCTATGATGGTTACAGGGACAGAAGAAGGAAAATTATTCATGGCTAGAGGATAGACACATTATTAACACAGATGACTGAGCAGGCAATATACAAGAGAAAGGTTAGCAGAGGATAGATGAAGGAAGGTATGGGTAGACACAGGGAGGAATACAAATCATTAAAGTGAATAGAAGTAAACTGTTGGATACATAGAGGGGATTGCAACCATGTAGTGAAGCAAAGTATATGGTTTGTTAAATGTAAAACTGATGATCTGCTCTGTAAACCTTCATTCAATTCACAATAAAAAGTGAAAAAAAATAAAAAGAGATTTAAAACCTGGAAAAAATGGAAAATCCTTACAGGGTCTGTATGAGTAGGAACCAGCTTGATGGTACTTAACAACAAAGGTCACTTTGATTTGGAGTAGATCAGTCAGCAGTGGATTTTGTTGTTACTGCTGTTGTTAAGGGACTCTGGAATGTAGGACTAGACGTTTATGACCTGTATTGGTTAATCTCCCTAACATACCAGTCACCAAAACCCTCTCCATAATTAATTCAGGCATTCTGTGTTTGTCTGACTGACAGTAACAAGACTATTTCATGGGGCTAGTGCTGCAGGACTGAACCTGATATGTGGCGCTGACATGTCTTTCTCCCACAGAATGGCTGGCACCTTACTCGGTGTGGGTGCAGGTGTGTTCATCTTGGCTCTGCTCTGGGTATTAGTGCTGCTGCTGTGTGTGCTGTTATCACGAGCTTCCGGCATAGCTAGGTAAGACATTCTTTCAAGCTGGGAGTCCTAGGTAACACTTATTAAACATTAGAATTCAGAAGATCATTTCTATAATTACTGACAGTTTGAGTCTGTTGCATTTTAACCTCTTATCATATAAGCATTATGTTATTTATGCTCTGAAGCAGCATTGGAAAGAGAAGGGAGATGACATTTTCAGTTCTTACTGTGGAGAAGATGGAGGGTCACAAGTGATGACAGAAAATATCCTCTTGCTGCCTACTGAATTGTTTCTGTGTTTCTTAATTATTTAGATATATAGTTGATACTTGGCCCAGTCCCAAATGCTCTAGACTTGGACTCAGAAAAACTAAAGAAGCATTTAATGACTTGACCCTGTATATACAGTAATGACTTCAGAACAGAGTAAGACCAAGAGCTGACTGGAAAATGAAACTATGGTGTAGAATTCTCTGACCAGTTATGTCAATTTGAAGTAGAGGGTAATATAATGTACTAAATTATTCTGGTCTAAAAACTGACCTTGTAGTCCAGTGCTTATCCTGGTGTGGCACTATAGGAGAAGTACTAGATACAAGGTCAGTTTGAGCAGCAAGGTCACCAGTTCAAACCCACCAGACACTCCTTGAAAACCCTATACAGGGTCACTGTGGGTCAGAACTGACTCAGCAGAACTTAAAAACAACAAAACAAAATGAGAAGTGGGGCCAGAGGAAATGCTCTGTTAATTTTTCATAATTATGACTTTGTGCTGAGGTAAAAAAAAAACAACAACAAAAAAAAAAAAACCAGACAGACAAATTCTGAGTCTTGTTGATGTAGGTGCCTTCAAGTCAGTTCCAAGTCATAGGAACTCTGTGTACAGAACTAAACATTGTCCAGTTCTTTACCCTCCTCTTAGTTGTTGCTGTGTTTGAGCCTGTAATGTTGCAGCCGTTGTGTCAATCAGTCATCTTGATAATCTTCCTCTTTTTCACTGACCCTCCACTTTACCTAGGATGTTGTTGTCCTTCTCCAGGGACTGGTCCCACCTGATAACATTTTCAAAGTATGTGAAATGAAATCTCCCCATATTCGCTTCTGGCTGTACTTCTTCCTAGACAGATTTTCTGGCAGTCCATGGTTCACAGGCGATATTGTGGTTCACCTGGAGATATTGTGGGTTCCATTCTATACCACTGCAATAAAGTGAATCTCTCAATAAAATGAGTCAGAAGAATTTTTGGTTTCCTTGAGTCCTGGTCCTGTATCTGACAATGTTTCTCTGCTATTCATAGAGTTTTCATTGACTAGCGATTGGGAAGTAGTCTTCTTAGTCTGTGTTTGTCTAGAAGCTCATCTCAAACCTGTCCACCATG